TATTCCATATATATTTTGGTCAAAAAAATTATATGTTTATATTTTCTTTGAAAAATTCAATGCAGTATTTGTTGAATATTTTTTCATTATACCATTATTTATGTTTTTACTGCACTTATTTATAATCTTAATATAACATCTATCAGCACACTTGTTTCTTTAATTTTTTATGAGTAAAGTACACTAATTTTTCTTCTATTTTATCTTAATTATAGATTTTTTTTATTTTTAAAACCTATATAAATCTCTTCTAGAATTAATAGCTACAAAACACAAATGTCCCTTCTACTTTAAAAATTTTATCTATATACCTACCCATTAATTAAATGTTAAGTCATATTTATTAGATCAAAATACACATATTTAAATTTAAATGTTATCTAAAAAGTTATCAAAAAATTAATTGGATATATATTTTTAAATTTTTTGTTCATGTATTAAATTTTTTCAATTATGCCAACTTATTTATTTAGTTTTCTTAAAAAATTGAATATATGAGTTGGCTAAAATAAGATTTCAAGCACGCACACCAACACACACATATATAATTAATATATGTGAGAAAAAATTAATATGATAAATGTTTAATATAATAAGAGATTAATTTATATTTTTATTAAATGTTATAATTTTAATAAATATTTTGAATTTATTTATTTAAATATTTTCATAACTAATTATTTAAAGTTCATTAAATTAGGAGGAGAGTTTACAAATTATAAGGCTAAACAATAATTTTAACATAATATTCCAAATGATAGTAAAAGTTTGACTACTGTGAAAATAGTTTTTTTTTTCTTACTAAAGTGAAGATTTTGAAAACAAATAAAATGTATCTATAATTTAGTAAAACAGCATGCAGATCAAATGTATTTGACTCTTTTTTTATTAATCATAAAATGAATTAAATAAAAATTTAGAAACATAAAACAAATTTGTTTCTTACTTAGGGTGCCAACATTTTAAATACTTAACTTTTAAAATGGAGAAAATATTTTATTCCATTTGTGACCCAATTTAATTATTGAGAGAATGATAATTAGGTTCCAAAATATTGAATTAATATAATTTTATTTTTTGAAAATTTTTTTGAAAAAATAAGTTAAAAATATAGATCCAAATTTTTACAAATTCAAAAATTTCAATTACAAATAAGTATATAAATTATCAAATATAAATTTATAATTATAACAAAAATTTATATTTATAACTATTTGAATTAATATATAGAATTTATTTCATAAAAATTTTTATTGATGATTTAATTGTCATTAATTCATTCTTTTGAGAATAAATTATTCTCCCTTAATTATTTGAAATTCAAACTAGAGATCTTTCTCGTGCAAAATTAGTAATCTATAATGAAAATTTTCTAAAAAATTATATTCATCTCTTCAATATATAAATTTAAATTGTATTAAAATATGTAAAGAAATATTAAAAAACTAGAAGGATTAAAATACAGTTTTCTCTCTATACTTTTCTTTAAAAAGCACCAGGCACCTTATATTAATAAATTAGGCATTTTTCTATTTAACAGATCATCCATCATTATCTTAGTCTTGATAGATATAAATCTTTGAACTTTCCAATCTTTATATTAAATTTATTATTTTGTATGCATTCAGTTTAAATTATAATATAGTATATTTTGGTTTTAAAATAAAAAAGTCAGATATAATCTTCTTAGTTTTGTTTTTAATCAATTATATCTAATAAGATTTGAAAGTGCCTTCTCTTAAATATTATTTAAAAACTAACTCCATAAAGTTTTTTAAAAGTTATATTTATTCAAAGAAGAGTTCTATTATTAACATTTAAAATTTATACTTTGAGTTAAGAGTTTTAGATATATTTGATTTTGACTTTTAATCAATATTTTCTCTAAATATCTTAATATATAAATCCGTTTGGTATAAAAAAATTTTCATTTAAAAATAGACATATACCACTTTCCAAAGCACTCTATCTCGTTCAGAAGAGATGTTATGAGTTTTCAAAGTTAACTTTTGAAGCTTCTGGAACTACATAAAAATGTTCATGACATTTGCTCTGCTTTTTTATTATATCTCTTAAACTACTTTTAATTTTCAATTAGATCTCACTTTGCACCCTGCAACATGTAACAAATACCTAAACGAGTATAATTGATATTTCACAGATAAAACTAAAAATATGTCTCATTTATGAAGATGCAAAAGAAAAGAGGAGAAGTCATCAACGTTATATTATCTGTGATATTATTATACTTTAATGTATTCATTTACTTAATGAGTGAATTTGTTTTAAGATCACTTTAACCAAAATTTCTCTATTATTTATTTGAGCACATTTAAGATTCAAAGATCTTAAGTGGATGCTGAAATTACCTCTGTGAGGGAGAGAAAAATAGACTTGTGAATCTGAGAAAATATAAATGACTTCACAAGTGTCCAATTGTAAAATTTTTGTAAAGAAGAGTGATTCGGACATTGAATCTGATATTATATTATGGTTTCACAAGTGTCTGAATCAAATTTATAGTTATAGTAAAAAAACTTAACAAGTTCATATATGTATTGCTCTTTATATCTCTCATTGTCATTAGCTTTGTTTATCTTCTAATCATTTATATTTCAAGTTTTTGGGATCAAGAGCTTTGGGTAAAAAAATTGAAAGACATCCACTTTGCTCCCGTTTTGAGTGACTAGTGTATTTTGCACTCTACCCCCTCTACGACGAGATCCTTGCCAAATGCAAGCAGTGTCTCAGCCGCTCTGCCTTCGATGTTGTCAACAGCGAGCGCAGAAGCCATCATACCACACACAAACCATTATTTGGTTACTAAATTGATGAAATGTCCTATGAATTAGTTACAGAAATGCATAGTATATATAAGTTGATTCTGGCTTCCATATGATCCTTCCTGATGACCTCTCTGTGGCAGCCATGTTTAGGCCCCCTTAGTTTTTTTTTCCTGCTCTGTTCTTTTTCGATTTTTTAGCTTTTTAATTTTCTTTTCCCTTGTATATATAAGTATATGAAAAACTATATTTGATGTTTCTTCCTCACAGTAATATGAATATCTCTTTGCTTCTATGAAATCTGAGTCTACCATGAATTCTGCTGTGTAATCCACTCTCTCTGCTTAAACATTCGATTTCTCCATCCAGTTCTTCAACATCGCTTCTTTGCTTTTCCTTGGACCCTTTGTCCCTAATAACCAAACCAAATCGATTTAACCAAAAAAAAAATTAATTTTTTTTACATATCCTCTCGTTTAAAAAATATAAGATATTTTTAATTGAATCTTATTCACAATAAAATAGTTATTTATTTTTAAATTAAAACTATTTTTTCATATGTACCCTATTTAATAAGATATTTTATTTTAAAATAAATATAAAGTAATTTACACACTAAGGAAACTTTTGGAAAAAAAATATAATTATTATACCTTCAAATACTAAAAATATTTTATATTTTTTAACATCCAATTTTTTAAAAAATATCTTACATTTTTTAATGGATAGAGTATCTAAAAAACAAAAAATGTGAGATTTTTTCTTGGGTGAGTCTATTTCTGTATTAATGAGTTGAAGAAAAGATTAATTTATTTTTTTTTAAATTGAAGAAATATCATCAAGGATGAAAATGGAAGAAACTTAAGGCAGAATTCAGCATATTTTGGTAAATGAGCACTAAAAATTAATTACAGTGAGAGTCCATAGGACTTATAATTTCTGCATTTTATAGGAATTTAATATAATTAGAATCTTTTGGTGGGACTTGGAAGCATTTCTCCCTTTTTTTGGCCAGAGAAGAAGGATTGATTTAAATGGATAAAAAAGAAAGAAAAAAGGATAATTGATTTAAATAAACAAAAATATAACAATAATACAAAATTTCTTTTACTTCACTAATGCACTTAAGGAAAGTATGAATCCTTTCACTTCAAATTATCTATGCCGCTTCTCCTTTGAAAACTGTCAATTTTCTTGTAAATTCTTTATAAAAAAAATTAATAATGTCTTCTTCATAAATGAAAACATGTCTTTACAATTGTAAATTATAAGGAATAATGTCCGGTTTAAAAAAGGAATACTATAATAAAAGAATCTTATTAAGTAAGTTAACTTGCTCAACTTGCATTGCTATATATTTTAAAGGCAACATGGAATATGGAATGCTACGTTTGCCTAGTGCTAAAAAATTTGGGGGAATGACAATACAATACAAAAAAAAAAACTTAAATAAGGATTAAAAGAGCTTCAAATTAAAAAAATAAATTTCAAGCAAGAAATGAAAGAGCTTGAAATTTAAAAAAAATAAAAGATTTTTTGTTGATCTAAAAATTTGTTACTCTTGTTCTGTGAATTGGCTAATTTATAAAAGAAAAACTTGTTAAACATATAATCACTTTCTCTCATTTGGTATTCCAATACCTCTATTTTTAATCCTCAAAGCACTAATTTGCAAGTAAAATTTATTGATTTGTGAAGAAAAATAATTTTCAAATAATAATATATTTAACACATTTTTTCTTTATAAATTAAAAAATTTTACTTATAATTTTTTATTTGAAGTTACAAATCATGCAACGGGAGTAACAAATTTTTATATCAATTCACTAAAGGACTTTTAATACTTATTTTGGATTTTCAAATATTTGGATCATTTCAATCTTTTGATCCTTTACCATCATTTCCTGCAACTTTCATGTTAAATATTAATATTACTTAGAGTGTAAATACTTTTTATCAATTTTATATTAAATATTAAATTAAATATTAATATTCATATGAGTATATTATTATTATTATTATTATTATTATTATTATTATTATAATAGTGAAGTAAAGTTGCTTAAAATGAATTTTGCTTTAACGAATAAATTTTTAGAAAGAAGGAAGCAAAAAAGAGAAGCTTAGATAAAGAGAAAGGAAAGGGATACCTTTCGTTCTAGTTCTAGAAGATTTTGGAGGTGGATAAAAGACGAAACTGTCCTTCTATCAATTCCGCACGCAGCAAAGCTTTCCCCAAAGATCGAAGTAAGACAAAACACTCTGTCCCACGTTGTTGTTCCCTTCCTTGCTTCTCTCTGGAATTCGAAAACTGTTCTTCCTCTGCTTGACGGAAACGGCCATTTCTTCTGGCCTCCGGTGATCCCCTCCGTCATGAGTACCGGCGAGCTCCTCAATATCCACCCCCAGGACCTTCAATTTCCCTGTAAGGCTTGAGTCCCAAAAGGAGGATAATAATAATAATAATAATAATAATCTCGCTTTCGTTTTTTTGGGTTGCTTTTCCGGTCCTTTGTGTTTCTTTTTTGGATTCTTGGCGTTCTTCTGATATTTCTTGCTGTTGTGTTTCTGAAATAGTTGAATTGAGGAAGCAGATCTCCTGCTCATTGCAGTTGTCTAACAAGACGGATGATTATGTGGCTTTTAAGGTTCGAATTTTATTTCGGCATCTTTCTTTTGGGTTAATTTTTCTGTCGTATCAGTTCGAGTTTAAGTCGTGAATTTCTGGTTTTTATGTGTCTTACAGTCTGAAGTTTTAAATTTGTGGTGAAATTGGTTGTTTGTAGGTCAAGACAACGAATCCCAGGAAATACTGTGTTAGACCTAACACTGGAATTGTGTTGCCGAGGTCTACTTGTGATATCATAGGTTTCTTCCTGTTTTCCTTCGTCACTTGCATTTATGCACACAATCACGAAAAGAGACTATCTTTGCTTGGTAGTTGATATGGATGTCTGTACGCTTTAATTGGTGTTAAATTGTTGAAAAACATTTTTTATTCGGTGATTATTTTGGGCTTATGTTCGCAACAGATTTATTAGAGCCTATCTTTATATTTGAATTTTTAACGCTTGCTGTAATGACCTATTGACCGTTCATTCATCCATACGAGTCAGTGACAATGCAAGCGCAAAAGGAAGCACCTCCTGACATGCAATGCAAAGATAAGTTTCTCCTTCAGAGTGTGTTGGCAAGTCCTGGTGCCACCACCAAAGATATCACTCCTGATATGGTAACTAGTTGGCCATTAAGTTATTGTGCATCAGTAAAATAAAGAAAATTTGAAATCATTTTGCGTTATCTAATTATTTTTTCTGTGCTTATTGCATATAGTTCAATAAAGAGTTGGGCCGTCATGTTGACGAGTTCAAATTGAGAGTTCTATATGTTGCTCCTCCTCGACCACCATCCCCAGTTCGGGAAGGATCAGAGGAAGGTTCTTCTCCTCGGGCTTCACTATCAGAAAATGGACATTTAAATGCCTCTGAATTTACAATTGTGAGTAATCAGTGGTTTTGCTATTTGTTTGTTATACCCAACACAGATCGTCACTGCTTTTCATCTTCATTAACTATGGTTAATTATGAACATGCAATATAGGCACCAAGAACTTTCAATGAGCGGGTTGAACCTCAAGAAACTTCATCTGAGGTACTATAATACCTTTCAATTTCTGTCTGACTTATATATTTCTTTATGTTAAGTGCAAGGAGCACGAAGTGATTTCAATTTGAACTCATCTACACATGTGGATTTGTTTTTTTTCTTATTGCTTGTGCCTAATTTGAGTCCTCTATTTATGTGAACTGTCTACCATGAGTTGCTTTCTTGACTCTTGATTCCAAGAATGCTTATATTCCTAAAGATTCAAGTCTAAATCTGTTTTGCCCATCCTGTGGATCACATAATATCCTGTTGGAATGGTGCCATTAATGATATTTGACAACAATTATGTTTGAATATGCTATCCTAAATAAGGGGCTTTATTATTCTCAAACGGGCGTTCTTCCAATGGTTAGGCTAATGATTACTTTCTTAAACTATCTTACTTTCATGCCTGGTTTTGACTAGCAGACCTTCTGTTAATCATGTTAAGTTCTTGACCTAAAGAAACAATGGATAGACTTGAGAGAGAGAGAGGGAGAGATTTCTTGTTTGAAGGTCTTTTCTTAAAATGATTCTGAGACATGGATCAAGAAAAATGTTCTACTTAGTGCAGCTGAAGGGGCTCACCTCAGCATAAGGGGCCTCAATGCCTCTTGCTGGAATGGGCGAGGGCCCTTCATCATGGCACTCGGTAGTGTCTTTGTCACCTTTCTACGAAAGCAAGGCACTTGCTTGAGACAGCTTGCATACCCTAGGTTCATTTTAACAAGATATTGACCTAAACTGAATGATTCATAACTATTGTGTTGAGCCTGAACATTTCAAAACAATATTTTGAACATACAAAAGCCACAAAAACCAGGTAGTCATAAGCAATAGGGAATATTGGTCATTCGCTCTTAAAGTTAATGTCTGGGTTTTAATAATTAGCACATTTCAAACAAAGCAGCAAGATCATAAGAGACAACACAAGTGCACAACATCCTTCCTTCTAGGTATTGATGCATACCACTACTTTAAAAAACTTAGTCTTATATGCTTCTTTGCCTCCCAACACTTTTCTTTGCTGTCTTCTTTTACTCAATATATTACTTAAAGACCCAGTGTGCTTGTAAACTTCAGCCAACACTGTCGCACACTGTCGAGCATTTTGAACTTTTCTTTATATGATTATGATAGATATTTATAACTCTGACACGAGAGAGACAAAGAGAGAGTGCGAAAAGAGAGAGATAGAGAAGAGAGGTAGAGAGAGATACAAGAGAGATGAAAGAGATAGGAGAAACAGGGAATCACGTTTACAGGGAACCAAAGCCTATTACAATTTGTCCCTAACCCATCTATTTATAGTCATTAGCTAATGGGCATCTCTCCTAATTACACCAACTACCCCGTAACTATTTATTTATTGTGATATCATCTCAGATTATTGTGCCTGCGTAGTTAATTTTTATGTCATTAGTTATCACAATTTGTTCATACTTATCTATTTTGAATTACGTAGCATATTTTCAACTTTTTTCCTCCTTAATTTTAGTGCCATGCTTCAATTGGGCAGCACTTTTCTAGGCCCTCAGACCTCAAGGTTCTAGAGGGCTTAGTCTAGTTTGCATTTGATTAACTTGTTTCTACTGGATAGTGTATAAACTCTGGGCGCATTATTTTTCCTTTGTTCAGAGTAAAGAGTACTAGAAACATTTTGCCATTGATGTCAACTTCGACTTTTCTACTGTTCAGATAAAAATTACTAACCACTTTGCTGTTGTCTTCCCTTCTGCTTTTGTGACTTTACTTTTGAGTTTGCAATTTTCTTTTTTTTATGGTGCACTCATTGAAATGAAGAATTATTTACGTTCATAGTTAAAGTATACTGTAGAGTGTAAACTGTACTTTGCCTGTGCTTGATCAACCAGCTTCAATTTTCTGCTGAAGCAGTTAGTACTTACTACTGGCTGAAGTGATCATCTAATTGTCATAAAACAAACATAGTTTAGCTTATGCTTGTTATTGGTATAATTATTTCTGTTCCTGTCGTCATTTTCATCCCATGTTGGTTGTGTGCTGATCCACTGCTGAAACACTGATATGTTTTTAACTGTGAGGGGGGAAGGAAGAGTCAAATCACACTTTTTGATCTTCAATTGACAATTTAAACCCTCTTTAATTCGAACTGTGACAGATTATGTGGATAGTTTTTTCTTTTCCCATCCTTAACTCATCTTGATGCCAGCTAGTGAAAGGATAAAAGAAATCTCACAAGAGTGAGGCAAGATCTGTTGACAGAGGTGTGTGCAGAAAGGCACTAAGTTGGTAGCCTCATTGTAGAGATACTTTACCTCGAAGCATCAAATGCAAGGAGCCTCTGTAGTGCTTCAACAGAATTCTTTTTATCTTAACTGATTGGATCATATTCTGGACCAGCCAATGATTCTTTGTACACAGTTGCAAGGGAGTTTATACGTCATAAGTGGCTATACACATAGGATCGCTAGAAATAAAACCAAGTGTAGTGTAGCTACTTCTTTATTTCCTTTTCTTGTGTGCATGTACCTAGGCTGTTGCACATGAGTTTTCACATGCACGCCCACATGGTCGGCAGGGCTGAGATTATTGTTTTCTCTTGTGACTCTTATAAACCCAACAAAATGGAATTCAAACATTCACCTATTAATAGTTTTGTTGCTGTATAATACTTCTTTGAATTTTTAATGGACGTTCAACCTGACTAGTTGTGCATTTTCTATTTGTTTTTTAAGCACTCATGCACTTACTGATGTATAGTTTGAAGTTGTTTGATTTATGCCATTTACTTTATTTTTGGAAGAGATTTTGCTGGTAGGTTGTATTGTTTTTAACTGTCTCTACTTATGAGAAGAGCTTGGGATTGCTCTTGCTGAGATTTGAATAAAAGCTTCCTGTTCATTTATGTTTTATTATTCATTCAGGCAAGGACTCTCATTCCAAAGGTGACGGAGGAGAGAAATTATGCTGCTGAGCAAAATAAAAAGCTTCAGCAAGAATTGGTATGCAATTATACAGAAAACCTTTTTTAGCTTTGTGGCATGCTTAAAAGGTTCCTAATTTCTATAGGTTTATTCATGGTTTATCCCATACCATCATAATACGGCCTGCTGGGGGGGGGGGTAATATCCTTATCATGACATTTCCGCTCAACTATTTTGGATAATTGTTCCTCATATTGAAACTTAGAAATAGGTGCGGAAGTGCATTGCTATTATGTCAATAATGAAGGACTACTTTTTTCATAAAGCACATCTGGCGTGTTTTGTATGGAAGTATTATCTTATATTTGTTTCTTGAAGTTGATTTTATGATGTATAAAGTCTGGTATAGCTTGATGGGGTGCCCCTGGGAAAATATCATTGTGATTAGAACAGTGATTAAGTTCATTTCCTTTGCTGATTTTGCAATATCTTTGGATTTTGGCAAAGCCGCAACCTGAATGTCCGCTAAAACTGAGAAATGTTTGCTTTTGCAAAACATACGGGCTTCCCATGTTGAAAATTTGTTAGGGACTCAGAATGGTAAGGAAAGCAAATAAATCTATTAAATAAATTAGAGCAAGAATCTCACTCTTAAAATATTTAATAGCCAAAGTAGGAGAATCTCCAAGGGAAATTGTATTTTATTTTCTGAATGTCTAGCTATGATGAGAGCTAGCCCATTTACAATGCAGGAATTGCACCAGAACAATAAATAAATAATAAGAAAATACCCCAACATATCTGGGATTATAACTGACTCAAACAGACTCAACATGGGTGAACCACATATCAAAAGTTGATCCACTTATTTAGCTAACTAAACTGAAAATGAAATAATTAAATCAAAATTAATTTAATTCTGCATAACTGATTCTAACTACATCCCCTTTCTTCTCTGATAAGTCAATAGTGGACATCCTTGTTGACTCAACATGCTATCAAAATTGTCCACTAAATTTGTTGGGTTACTCTGTGCTTGTGCGGTGTTTTCAAGGTTTATTGGGTTTTCCCTTTTTACAAGCTCTTTTTTGTTGCAAAAAAATTACCTTATCTGACGATAGTGCATGGGGTAAAGCAGACAGAGGAATAAGTTTTTCCTTTTGTTTCCTGATACAATGTCTTAAAAAATGATATAGGGATTTTAATTGATATCGAAATGGATTCTTTGACAAGGTTAGTATTGGAGAAGAAGAGATTTGCTTCATGTTATAGTGTATTTGAATGCAATAAATTTGGTGGGATATGCCAAAGAAATATCAGCATCGCTATACATTTGAAATATGAATTTGTTGCAGCTTGGGAATTCATTCATGATTCAAGGTTTATTTTCCCATTTTTATTCAATTGTGGCCTACTTTAGGTAATCCAAGGTCGTTTGGCTTTTAAGTTGGGTTACTTGAAGTCTGCTGCACATATCTTGATTTGAGAGTCCTGAATTCGGACTCAAGATTGGTATTGAGCTGTTATTCAACTCTTTTGTTCTCCTTTCCCTTTGTCTGTTCTATGTGTCCTTTGTCAAAGACACCACTTCACAATTTCTCACCTTATGTCTTGAAAGAGGGGAAGGGCAAAAAGTAAGTGATGAAAAGGGGAACACAGAAAAGCAAAGGATCTTGTTTTGCTTTGTAGTTAGACTCTTGTAGAGGCTGATTCTTGCTCTGTATCTTCAGCTTTATTTGAAGTGAAGTTGAGAGGGGAGAGCTTGCTAATGAGGGCTGAGGAAGACAAGTGAGATAAGGGATACTCTGAGAAATGCAGTAGCTAAAATCTGATTTATTTAATTGGTCGGTGTAGTTTGCTTTATATCTAGGTTTCATTGATTTGGTTGGTCAGTGGTCCCAAAAGTAACCTTAGAAGTCCATTGTATCACCTGGTGTTTTAAAACCTCATGAATTCCTTGACATGCACCTAGCTGATTCAGTATGCACAAAACGAAAAGGAAAATATTTATCTTGAAGGAACACAATGCCTCTTGCTTATTGTCTTAGTATGGTTTTAAGTATTGATCATCAAATTTCAGTGGCACTATTAACATTCAGTGTAGAAGTTAATAATCCTAGCAATGTGATTAAACCTTTACATGGTTGCCAAAATATATATTTATATTATCAACTTGAATCCTTCACATTGCAGGATCTCTTGAGGCAAGAAGTCAGCAGAAACCATGGTGGCGTGCCATTTATGTATGTATTTCTGGTTGGCATTATTGGCATCATTTTGGGATACGTTTTGAAGAGGACATGACCCCCAGAAACTTCAAAAGAGACGAAAATGTAGAAAGCAATGAGATTGTGAATGATCCAGAAACTCGTGCTTATTGTACCAACCAATTGTTGTCACTCTTTGAAGGGGGGAGGGAATTGAATATGTGTGAGTGTTTCTAGCTTCATTAGCAAATCGATAGATATTGGGCAAGTTGATGACATTTTGTATCTTTGGAATTTGGGTATTTTTATTTAGTGTGCCAACTCTTTGAATAATCTTTTAGAGACTCTGAAATGCGTAGGAAACGTGGCTAGTTGGATGCGAAGAACAGTGAGAGGTTTGTTTTATCTTTTTTTTTTTTTTTAACTACAAGTGGTAGCATGCGGGATGGAACCCACAATCTATCACCAGCAAGGACAAATGATGTCATTATACTACAAGGGCATCAGCAGGTTTGTTTTTTTTTTTTTTTCTTGAGAGTTATTTTTCCCAGTTACAAGGTACTATTATTCCCATAGTATCAGCAATATATTTGTCCATCAGTGATCAAATTTTCCACTGAAGGTGCTTTTTGAATAGGCTGATCGTTTTAGTATCAGCTAGTGTCTGGTTCAGCCCTATTGATGTCCCAACTTAGAATGAGTTTATTTTGGTATGTTAATAGTGTTCGTGATTTGTGCATAATATGATTTTTTTTTATATATATTTATTTTATTTGTTAATTGATTTAGCTGGGCATGGTGATGTTGGGTTAATCAAAATATTTGTTGGATGAAATTTTGCTGAGAGTTGGATGAGTGCTTTTGGTATTAAGGAAAAAAATAGACAACAAAATAAACATAAGCTATCAGCAAATGTTGGTCCAAATAGAAAGAGCTGTGGTCGCTTAAGCATTAGGTCTTGAGTTTGAGTTCGTATAAATGCAAAATATGTTTTTGAAAGAATTATCTCCAATTGAGTTCAATGATGTTAGCTGCATGCTTTCGAAAAGCCATTCTATTGTTAATGTTGGTGATGCATAAGGGAAAGAAAATCTAGTTTATAACTATTTCCCAGAATGTCACATTCAAAAATTTAAATTTCGCTCTATTAGCTTTCCATTATCTGGTTGTTTCGAGTGTAAGACATTATTTGGGTATGAGCTTTTCTTTCTCATTTGTACTCGTACTTTTTTCGACAAGGCCTTCGTCCCAAGTACCCTATTTTGTCTGCCATTTCCTATGTTACCTGTCTTCAAATTTTTGCTCATGAAGAATACAAGCAGGACATGGAATGCTGAATAGAACAAGTCATTTGTCTTTCTTTCTTTCATTCTTTTTTGTTTACCCATAGGTATCTATTTGAGGTACTGCTAGGCACTAAATGGAGGCACTTATGTCAATGGGGATTCAAATTTTGGTTCATTATCTTGTGAGGGATTAACTATTTTTGCTACATTCAATTCTCGGTTCTTTTCTTAAGATAGATAATGTCTTTAAGTTTTGAGTCAGTAAGTATTGCCGATGAAGAGTTGAAGTTTCACTATTTACTTGAGTGTTGGAGATAGTTAACTAATTCATGTACTAAAAGAAATTAAATAAGTTACTGATTTGTAAAAAAGGTGTTGGTTTTCTTATAATATTTATCTCCTTATTCATTGGCATTAGAAATTACTTTTTTTTTTTTTAATCGTGAGCACCTGGTGTCCTGGGCTCATCTCACTCAAATTGGGGGCACTTAATAGCTCTCAAATTAATCCAAATTGAGGCATGACAAGCACAGTAAGGGTGGGTGTTCCTAACTATTTACGTTGCTGGATTTTTAGAATTCAAACTTGAGATTTCTAATTAAGTTGGAGCAATGTTTGTTAGTTGAAGCTATTCTTGTTGACTACACATAATGCTAATAATATATGCTATCAATAGGGGTATTTTGGGGGAGATGAATAATGAAGGAAACGAGAGAAATTAAAATCTTATATTTAAAGATCAAAGCACACTATTCCTAGAGCTTCTATGTTTGGGATGGGAGTGAGTTTTATATGAATCACATCACTTCTCACTCATAAATTTTACAGACACGTTGATATTTTATAGCATGACAGAAAGAATCACATCAGATTAAGCTGTGTTGCCAAAAAAATGGGCGAATTTCATTTGATTGGTTTACGAGAGTCAATTAAAGAATGGATTAAAAGCAATCAAATCAATCAAGAGTCATTAGATGCCTGGACTTATCATGGTACCTATGGTGACTCCTCATTGTTTGGAAAGGTTTTTGGCAGACAAAGAGATTGGTTCGCTTACATCCGCCTGATCCTGATTTCACTAATTTGTAGTTGTCTTTGTTTTATTTCTCAAGCTTTCTATTTGCCCTTTTTTAAATATATATATATATATATATATATATCTTTACAATTACCTGACTAGATTTTTACAGACCTATGGATCGTGCAGTCCACCAAACCCAAAACATAAATTCCATTATTAATAACTTGGGAACAATGTAATTTGTTGTGTGTGTGTTACATATTAATATGTATTGTAAAATGACTTTTGAAAATTACTTTCTTATTGATTAATATATTGGTAAGTTTATATGAAAATTTTAAACATAATTATCATCCTTAAATTAATAAACTAGGAATTAAAATTTCAGTCCATTCAAGTACCAATCTAATTCTAAAAATAGTTACACTTCAATAATTTCATGGTTCAAAAGGTACATGTGACTCTGTTTATCAACAACCAAAGATGGGCCTACTAACATCAACTCCTTAATGGTGCACAATTTATCCAATCAATTTGCTTATTGTATATTTTACCAAAAAACATTTGCTTAATATATTTAGGGGGAACCTAGGAAAGTAACATTTCTCTCTCTCTCTATATATATATGTGTATATATGTATATATATATTCTTATGAAAAGAAACCTACCTTTCTTTTCATCAAAAAAGAAAGAAAGAAAGAGAGAAACTTACCTTTCGCCAAATATTAAGTGGCGTTACTCAACTATTGTAACATTTTCTTTCTGATTGTGTTTGTCCCAAAAAAATGTTAAAAATAAATATTTGAACATATAGTATAAATTTATAATAAATCGCACTATGTACGAGTCAAGAATAATATAGCCCATTTTCTGAGACTTCGTACAGCACTAAAAAGGTGTTCAGTTTAAGCAAATTCAAGAAAATTTAAAACATTTTAGTGGATTTTTTTATTAAATATATTTATATATTTTATATTTTTTTATTTAATTTAGACACTCTAAATCTTTTCAAAAATAAAAGTTACTTCATTTTACATTGATATATATATATATATATAATTGATAGAAATCTATACTATTCATAAGTTATATTGATCATCTAAGACTTCAAGCAAAGTATATATGGCAACTAAATGAGCAGATCACAACATTATGACAATTTAACATTGATGAAAGCCCATCTTATATTATATACACTTTTAATCCTTACTTTATTAATATTTTGATTAAATCATTTAAGAAATATAATTATCTAAGGATAATCTACTTAGAGTTTCACACTTTGACCATATGTAATTATTAATACAGACCCCACCATACATTCATAATTTTGATTGCTATGATAATGACCCCAATTTGCAGAACATTTAGGTCCATCACCATACTAAATTCAAACAATAATTAAACCTTTTTTTCCTATAAAGTTAAGAACACCCTTTTAAAAGGGAAAAAAAATCAAGGACCTGAATTCTTTGCATTGAGTTAAAATTATATGATTTACGTGTTTATTTATTCATTGATATAATCATATCATGCATTGTCAATGATTGTTTCAAACATGTGACCCTTAATTCTAGTCTAATAGACAGACAAAGGCACACAAACACAAGGACCATTAAGGCCCATGAAGTTCCACAAAAGCAAATTGCATTTGAGGTTGGTCTGATCAGATTGCCGATTTTTGCGTATACAAAAGATAGAGTTGGCTTACAATACCTGAATATATATATATATATATATATATATATATAATCAAATTTGGCCTTAACACCTCGAGCTTTTAGACTTGTTCAAGCTTGAACGAATACCCTAATTATTCAATATTATTTTTTTAACTTTTTTAGCCAATTTCAAGTTGTATCTTAAAAAATTAAGATTTTCAATTTTTCTCTTATTTTAATTTCATTTTATAAATAAAGAAAAACATAATTTTAAATCTTTGTACTTTGCCCGTTTTTTGCTGTAAGTCTTTATAATTTTTTTTTTTTTGGTGTCTAGGTCCCTCTAAAGTTGTCCATGAAGGGACCTAGAACATCGGGGGAAAAAGTGTAGGGATCAAGAATATGAAAAAAAATACAGGAACTTATAACAAAATGTAAGCAAAGTGCAGAGACTTAAAGTTATATTTTTTTATAAATAATAAAAAGGAATTTAGATGCTCAAGCTAAACTCATTCAGGATTTGAGCCTAGCTCATTTTTTTTTTTTTGAACTTATTCAAGCAGCTCAAATAAGTCTAAAGTGAAGAAAACTTAATAAACTTTCAAGACTAATCCTAAAATATTTCAAGCTCATTCAAACTGGCCCGTCAGGTTCAATTAATCTGAATTTTTGACTCTAATCATTTAAAAAACGACAATCCTTTAAATGACGTTCAAATTTATCAAAAGTTAGTCCTATGACTATTAGCCGTGGGGATACCTTGGAAAACAATTGAAGAAAATAATTCCAATAAATTAAAGATAGGCCTAACTGATAAGGATACAACTTATATCTTACAAAAATGTATTTTAATCCTAAGTTCATGTCGCAAGAAGGATGGGGTGCGGTGTCGATATAAGTCAAGGATTTATACCTTTTTAATATAACCTAATAAAAATGAAATTAATATTATTGATTTGAAAATCTTATTTGTAGGTAATACATAAGTACATTTATAAACATTTTATAAGTCGTAAAATAGACTCGAACATTTATAAGTTTTTAAAACTTAACTCATCTAAACCTTTTTTTTTTTTACCAAGTTAAAAAGAGAACAAAGCAATGCATGTGAACAAAAAGTCATGAATCATGCATTTCAAAAGAAGAAGAAATGAGATAATATAACATGAATCTATGGAGTGCACATCTTTTTATTGAATTTTTTAAAAAAATTAAAAATTGATTTTGATGGTTTAAATTTTGTTATTAATCATTTTTTTCATGATGAATAAAATATGGTGTAAAATAATGATATTCTAACTATCAACTAATTTAAATTAAAAATAATATTATATAATAAATCGATATAACAGAAGATGATGGCATTTAAAAGGAAAAACAAAAAGGAGGAAGTTTTAGTGTTTGTTAATGGATTGGTGGACCCACCATACCATAGTGCCTCCGACAACAATGATAATATTATATTATATTATATTATATATATATTTTTTTATTTTATTTATAAGACACTTTTAAAATAATTTTTAGTATGATATATAAGACACATTACAATAATTAATTTTTTTAAATTTTATCTCTTTTTTTATTAGTATGAAAGTGTTTAATGTAATTATTTATTATTTAAAATTAAAAAAATAAAAATAAAAGTATATATTACTTTTTTTA